CATCAGAACAAAAAGTTGTCATAAAGAGGTGGTCAAAATTATGAATAAGCAACAAGAGAGACAAAATTCTTAAATAATTCCAGCCCCAGCAAGATGATTTTCATTTTTTTGCCATCAACTCTTCAACAATTCACATTGACAGTGCTATTTGGATGCTCTCTCTGGATTCTGTTTTGTGGATTAAAACATGAGAAGTGGAAGAGTTTTACAGGAAGAGTTAAGTACAAAAAGAACATTTCCATTTTCATGCCTGTGATCTGTGACTGCTGGTTTTTTTAATATCTGAAAACTGTATTATTTATTTTGAAGTAAAATTTCATTTTTTAATGTAACAAATACGCCACGAGGACATACAGTGTATACACTTACGGAGTCCTATAAATCTATGATACCCGTGAGGATAAAACTTAAAAATAAACACAAGAGAAGTCTATGACTTTGTCATTAGTTGTCCAGTGTTTTAGTAATAGCTCATCTTGGAAACAACATTGAATTTCAGTATCAGAAATTTTCTTCTTTCTACATGTGAGTGCTTTATATGCCATATAAAGTTAAAAAACACTATATACAATTTTTTTGAAAGTAGATATAGCCAATCATGTGATAGTGTACCAGTTGCTTAATTGAAGATTTCTACAAATTAGATTTTATTAAAAACATCTCTAAGAACCATTTTAGTTCTATGATCTATGAATATTGTGTAGATTTTTACATGGAAGAATCATGATTTCACTTATTTCACTTATCGTCATATATTTTAATGCATCCCAATTATTTCTTTATACTCTTGATGGAAATGTTCTATTATTATAAAACTGTAGAAAAAATAAATATACATACATGGGTATATATATATATATTATATAAATATAGATATATGCAAAACAGGGAAATGCATATGAATAAAGACATGACATACTTTGAATTGATAATGCAGTTACTGTGGGCAAAAAAACAAAAAAATGCTTTTTAATAAAACAGACATAGTAGATATTTGCCCTTAGAATAATTTCTTTGTAGTGACACCAAAAGCTCAGTGTGCGTAGGAAAATTTAGTCAAAGTTTACTTTTGTTATACTTTGTGTGATTGATGAAATTCCACAGCATCTAAACACAAAAAACATTGTACTTATTAAAATCACACACAAAATATCCTTCCTGCCCTTATACTTGTTTATTTTCCAAGTTTCTGTTTGTTGGAGATTATCTATTATTGGAGAATTAATTTAGAAATGCATTTACACCTATACAGTCACCATTTGATTTCCAGATACTTGTGGAATAACTCACTGTTGGTTAAATGGGAGGTGTGCTGGCCAATTAGCATACAGTTGAGTTTAGTTCATTTACATATTTCTGTATCTATTCCTAGATGCTATTTTTTATGCCACCCAAAATGCTGTTATTTGGTTAGATTTTATTAGTTTAGTGATATTAGTTTAGCGATTATAATTATGAAATGCTATCATATAACAAATAGAAATAAAGCTTATTCTTTTAAATTACATTTTCTCTTAGGTATTTGTGATTTCTTAAGAAATCACACAACTTCAAAGAATATCGGTAACTTTGCCTATCTGCTTTTTAATATGTAGTCCAGAACAATATATCATTCACAGAAAACAGAGAAGGTATTTGGTATATTTGTTACATGAGTGAATGAAAAAAATTTTGAGTTTTCATGCATTGCGTTTTCTAATTGTTAGCATGACCTGAGGACCAATCAGAGGCGTTTTTATCTCCTTCCTTTTTATAATGCAAAAGACGGCTTCAATATCCTCAGAAGAACCTCATGGTGCTTGCCAAGCCCATTTCTCCCTGACATTCTTAAATACAATATTTCCACCATATAATCATATCATGTGATATAAAACCGAAAATTATATGCCTATCCTAGTTATTTAAACTCTTATTTCTCAGAATAAAAAAAAAAAACCTCTACATCTTATATATAATTTAATAGGTCTGATCCTCTTAGAAAAAATGAATTAGACCATTTACTTCGGGACAGACAATGTTTTCCCAAGTATGGTAAGACCGTGTCAAAATAGCAGAAAATTGTTCACTGATCTAAATAAAATTATTATGAATTGTTTACCACCATCACCACACATGCACCCACAAGTATAACCTCAACATCAGCAAACTCAGTTGCCAGTGAGGCAGGGAGGCTGCCATAACACCATGAAGAGAAGATGGAGGGTTGGTCTGCACACAGAAACAAGCTCAGTAATTACCTCAAGAATATCAGTAGAAGCAGAGCACCAATTCTGTCCCTGATTTTACCGTAATCGATCTCTTGTAGATTCTTGAAAAAAATGGTATTTTCCACATGATAATTACCTTAGCTTCATTATTTAAAAAGGGAGACCCTGAGAACTCTGGGATAGAACCCATTTAGGAAAACCTCTCCTCTACGATCCTGACCTCTCTGCCTTTTTTACAGCGAAGAGAGAAGACATTCATATTTTTTCAGCCCCTGTTCTCCTTGCTTTGAGTGAGGGGGAATGAGACACTTTAAGCAGTAAAGAGAAAGAAAAGTCACAAATGAATCACTAAGTGGAATAAAATCTGTGCTTTAATCAAAACTTTCTGTGACTCATCGATATTTTTTTCTCCTCCACAATATACCATGGTGAAGTCACTGTCTTAGTCACTCAATCAAGGGAGAATTGAATTTGAGTTCATTTCTGAAAATGAAGTCATAAAATTTCCCTGAGTGAAAAATGACGAACTATATTAACTCAGTTTGCATACATCCCAAATAAGGCAGGGAAGAAACTTGATTTGTAACTGTTGATGTCACTAGAATTCAAAGATGTGTAAAATTCCTAAGCTTATTTTCCATTCAAATGTGATGAAAGAAAGTACTTTCTTCAATCCTGTGGATTTCCAAACTTAATTTTTTTTTTCAAACACAGTAGCTAATTCCTAAGATTTATTCGATAGGGCTATGATATGGAAAAAAGCAAGAAAAAAATGTGATAAACAGAATGGGTCAATATTTACAAACTTCATATCCCCATCTAAAAAACATGCCTATTAATATATAGTAATTTATCTGTGTCTTTGTAATCAGCAAGAACTTTTAAATTGGTCACTCAGCATCATATAGTCCTCATTGATTTATCCTAACTCAAGTTAGAACTATAACCTCAATATTATAAAATAGAAAATGTTAAGATTTTATATATATAAACAAAAACTATATATAATATATATGTATTATATATACATATATACATGTATTACACACACACACACACACACACACACACACACACACACACACACAACAACAACTTGCAAGAGCTCAGAACAAAAATTAGCAGGTTTTTCCATGGATAGATTTTATTGGGACTCAAAAAAAAGGCTTTATAAAGACCAATTGAAACTATGGTCAAAATAAAATGAGAATTGGTCATTAAATCAAATGAAATATTCTCCTTCATATATCAGTTGGATTTGGGTTCCATGTGCATGGGATACTCCATGGGATTGTGGAGGAACTAAGGTATTTATTATAAGAAAATGATTGCACTCTCTAAAACTGCGCAAAAAAAAAAAAAAAACCAATTCCTATGACATTGTAGGTAAAATAGGTATAATACATAAGAAAAAAATCATTACCATATTCTCTGAATTTAGATTTATAGATATTATTGAATAGATATTCTTGGTATATTTGGTTGAGAATATAGAAGTCTTATTTTTATGTGTAATGAATGTCTTTTGACATTCTGAGAGGTTACAACCCTACAGGCTGTCTGTAAATAGTCCATATTGCTTAATTCAGTTTTGGTCAAATGAATTATCCAGAGTAGTTCTTTACTGCTTAGTTCAGCTGGGAAACTTCCAGCATGGAGTCAAGGACCCTTGTGCTTTAGAAGTTCATTCTGAAATGTCCATTGCTACTTTTAGGAAGTTCAGTGAATACGACTTTGGGAACTTAATCCCAATAAAGAAAGATCATCTCTTCAAAGTCCAGAAGTGCCATCATTTTGACCTTTGTCACACAGCAGAAAATGAAGAGTAGCACCATGTCCTTTCTTGTTCTCTTCCCTCTCCATGTTTCTAAGTTCTTGACCCTTCCGTCTTCCTCTATACAAGAGAAATGACCTTATTTTATCTCTGTAATCCCCCCAATAAAGGCACTGAACCCAACTTCTTGGGGTTAATTATCTGATCCTCTCTGACCATCTTCCTACTCAAGCCTTTTGTGCTGTTAGAATTTCCCTCGGCTTGTTTTGTTGATTGCCCATTAGGTGGGACCCTAGCTGAGCAAACATCAGGCAAACAAAAAGATATATATATGGACTTTTTTCCAGAGTGACATATCCTCCATTTCAATCTCAGCCTAAAATGAGATTTACCTTCCTCTCTAACAAAGCCCTTAGGAGATTCTGTTCAAAAGCTGAGCCAAATGATTTTCAGGAAAGATGTAGTACTTACCAGGTTCTCAATTGACTACCTAGATTATTAGAAAACACAATCATCCATTCACACACATTTTGGGGCATGCAAGACCATTGATTTTTAATATTTTCTTTTAAAAATACACAGGAAATTAACTCTTTAAATCAATGCAACTCAGAGAAACAGGAAAAGGATGGAATTTCAGAGCAAATAGCAAAAAGTGCATCCTTGTTTAGGTTATCACGTTTGCACAATTCCATTTCCATAAAGCAAGAATTTTACTCCATAGCACAGATGAGCCTTGAAGGGTAAGATATTTAAACTATGCATAGTTTACCTTGAAGGGCTTTTTTATAAGAATTTTTAAAAATTAATAATTAGTTAAGATGTGCCAAATCTATTTGTGATGAGCAACGGGTGTTGTATGTAAGTGATGAATCATTAGATTCTACGCCTGAAACTAATGTTACACTCTATGTTAACTAACATGAATTTAAATAAAAACTTGAAAAAAATTAAAATTAAAAGATGTTCTGATTCTTATATTTTGAAAAACAGACAGATTTTGAAAAGAAAAGTTTTACCTTAGTTATGTTGATTTCAGTAGAATTTCCTTAAAGGCCTAAGGTATTTACATACTCCTCAACACCACTGAGTTTTCTATCCTTTCCAGAATCCTAAAAAAATGGTGAAAGAAATACATTAAGACTTGATAGTTGTTAGACTAGGTGAGTCTGACAATTTCCAGGTGAGTCAGAGAGCTCAGATTTACTCAGTATAAAAATCCTAGGTTAATATTTGGCTTTGTCCTTTCTACAAGTGTAGAATTTACCACTCTGATTCTAATCAATCATGCCTGTAGTCTTTCTCTTTCCCACCACAGAATCATCAGAAACCAATGAAAGAGTCAGATTGCAAAGAACTAAGGGAAAGTAATCGTACTTAATCATTTCCTCCAGAGTACAAAACTGCACAATTTTCAGCTTTTGGGGCTAGCCCTGGAGCAAAATAATAATAATACCACTAATAACATAATAAACTGAGGAGTATATTTCTTGAGAAAATGTAACCTTACACAAAATATTCTCACAGGGAGGCATAAGGGTACAGGTAACCCAAATCAGTAGTGTTCTAAAATTGAATTGATAAGCTTTGTGGTTTTTCAATGTGACAAAGTAGTAACCCATATTCTAGACATAAATTTCTTCAGGATGGGCTTGAGGAAACAGGCGTCAATTTTGATAACATTCAATCTCATAAGTAAGAAACAACCATCTTTCTCTTGCAATTGGTGTTTATGGGAAACCATGAATTCCTTAATGTTCTTCTTGGTTTATTCTAAGTATCAAGAGCAATGGACGAAGATGAGAGACGAATTCTGAGAAAACAGTATCTTTAGTAAGACTATACATTTGTAGGTCATAGAGGATTTCTAGATTTCAGTGACTCAGGCAAATATTTTTGCTAACATGTTTGATATCAGGTTATGTCTTTGGGAAATCACATTTTTTAATGTCAATCTTTATTATCCAAAGGAAAAGGAGACATGGAAAATAGATAAAGAACCATATTTTTAATCTAATGAATCACATCCTAAAAAATGACAAGCAAGCACAGTAGAGACATAATAAAGATTTCCTATAGTTAAAATTACTAGTTATTTGCATAATCCCAACATCCGTCTGTTAAAACAATATGTACCCACATATTTTTTGTTTCAAAAAAGAACAGCAGGCAAAATAGCCGTACAGTTAAAATTCATGGATTTGAAAAAAAAATTATATATGATGAAGTTTATTTATGCTGAATAAATCCCAAATTTACTTTTTCTTTATTCAAAGTTTGAATATAGAACTGCTTCTTAGTTTTATGCCAACTTTTGAATAAATGAGTCATAGGAGGTAAAGCTATTGGTTGATAACAGAAAATATAATAACAGTACTCACATTTTGACATTTCTATTGCACCTTTCACCTTGAGAAAATCCCAGGCAATTAACCTAAAAATCATTTCTATACTGTTGGGATTTGTAAGCCCCAATTGAATCCAGTTATCTTCCAAGTTATCTAAAAGTATAAGTAGAGCATCCACAGCCCTGTCGGCCTGTCAACCTACCTTACTGGCATTTGCTACCAAGAGGCCTCCAAGGCCTGGTGCATGCACATGACCCTATAAATGATGGCCAGTTTCATGGAAATGAAGGAGATCCTGCCTTTTGTGATAAAATTCATGGGCCTTGAGGGCACTATGCTAAGTAAAATAAGTCAGACAGAGAAAGACAAATAGTGTATGTTCTTACTTTCATATGGAATCTAACAAAGCCAAACTCATACAAACACAGTAGAATGGTGGTTGCCAGGGTCTAAGGTATAGGGGAAATGGGGATATGTCAGTCAAGGGGTATACACTTCTGGCCATAAAATGGGCAAGTTCTGAGATCTAATGTACACCATGGTGACTATAACCAGCAATGCTGCATTATATACATCTTAAGAGATAACACCACATATTCATTTAAAAAATGGTAATTGTTGGGGTGCTGGGTGGCTCAGTCGATGAGTGTGCAACTTTGGCTCATGAGTTCGAGCCTCTCACTCTGGGATCGCTGCTGTCAGCATGGAGCTCACTTCACATCCTCTGCCCCCCTCTCTCTCTGCCCCGC